GGTGGGGGCGTCGCGGACCAGAGGTCAGAGGAATGGCGGAGTCATGGTGGGGGCGTCGCGGAGGAGAGCTCAGAGGAAGGGCGGAGTCATGGTGGGGGCGTCGCGGAGGAGAGCTCAGAGGAAGGCCGGAGTCATGGTGGGGGTGCCGCGGAGGAGGGCAGGAGTCATAGTGGGGGTGTCGTGGAGGAGAGCTCAGAGGGCAGGAGTCATGGTGGGGGTGTCGTGGAGGAGAGCTCAGAGGGCAGGAGTCATGGTGGGGGCGTCGTGGAGGAGCGCTCAGAGGAAGGGCGGAGTCATGGTGGGGGCGTCGCGGAGGAGAGCTCAGAGGGCAGGAGTCATGGTGGGGGTGTCGTGGAGGAGAGCTCAGAGGAAGGGCGGAGTCATGGTGGGGGCGTCGCGGAGGAGAGCTCAGAGGAAGGGCGGAGTCATGGTGGGGGCGTCGCGGAGGAGAGCTCAGAGGAAGGGCGGAGTCATGGTGGGGGCGTCGTGGAGGAGAGCTCAGAGGAATGGCGTAGTCATGGTGGGGGTGCCACAGAGGAGAGCTCAGAGGGCAGGAGTCATGGTGGGGGCGTCGCGGAGGAGAGCTCAGAGGAATGGCGGAGTCATGGTGGGGGTGCCACAGAGGAGAGCTCAGAGGGCAGGAGTCATGGTGGGGGCGTCGTGGAGGAGAGCTCAGAGGAAGGCCGGAGTCATGGTGGGGGTGTCGCGGAGGAGGGCAGGAGTCATAGTGGGGGTGTCGCAGAGGAGAGCTCAGAGGGCAGGAGTTATGGTGGGGGCATCACTGAGGAGGGCAGGAGTCATAGTGGGGGTGCCACAGAGGAGAGCTCAGAGGGCAGGAGTCATGGTGGGGGTGTCGTGGAGGAGAGCTCGGAGGGCAGGAGTCATGGTGGGGGTGTTGTGGAGGAGAGCTCAGAGGAAGGCCGGAGTCATGGTGGGGGCGTCGCGGAGGAGAGCTCAGAGGAAGGGCGGAGTCATGGTGGGGGCGTCGTGGAGGAGGGCAGGAGTCATGGTGGGGGTGTCACGGACCAGAGGTCAGAGGAGGGCAGCAGGTGTTTGGTACATGGAGAGTCACCTGACTTTCTGACCCTGCCCACATTACAGCACCATTCAGCTGGACTTTCTGAAAGAATAAGGCTCTCTGTAGAGAGTCAATTAATTCTGATCCAGTCCAGGTATCTGCAGCCCTTGGTCCGGCTGAGGAGGCTGACTGCAGAGGAGTGTAGGATGACCACTGATCAAAGCCAGTCTAAAGAGGAAGCTTCACTGTTGTCCTGTGAGAACTCTCCTCCATTCACTTGGGAGGATTCATTTTTTACTGGTTCCTCCTCATCAGACTCTGAAGGTGATTCTGATCCTGACTACATCCTATAGAGGGCAGGTGGTGTGTGTTGCTTTAAGCAGACTGTGTTTGGGGGGGGGACTGTGTGTGACCCAGCAGGTTAGGATGGCTTCTGTGTGCAGAAGGTCACTGGGCCTGCTTAATCAGAAATGTATGTCACTTCGGTAAGTGTGTGCTAAATAAAATGGAAAGTTGCTGTGACGGAGGAAAACCAGTGCACACTGAGTAACCATTTCTTAAACTAAAACGAGGTGAGTGAATATTGATTTGGCAGTAAATAATGTGCGTTCACTAAATAACTGCCCTCCCCTTTGGCTAAAATGGCGTCAGTGCCTGACCTACAGCGTGTTTTTAAAAGACATGTTGCTGATTGACACACACACACACAGATAACATAGAATATATCATGCTTTATTTTTGATGCACAGGGGGTTAGGAATGAAGGTCATTAGTGACCTAATAATCTGCAGTAAGTTGGTAAAATCAATCAGTGACTGATACATGAGAATCTCTTCCATGCTTTCATAGCATTCTTTCAAAAATGAAACGTGCAATATATATATATATATATTAAAAAAATGAGGGAGATTGCCATTAACGGTTAGGGTATGAAAGTGGCAGTGAGCGGTGCACCTATGTCTGCTTAGTCATGAGGGGGTGAGGCCTTGGTCTGGTTGTTGGGGGGGATGGGCTTGCCCAGGTGGTGCCCTGTGGAAAGGCCGTAGGGCTCTTCCTGGCGCTGCTCCTTCACCTGAGGGAGGAGCCGGAAGCCCCCGCTGAAGCTCATGTCGAACAAGTTGGTAGGAGTAAAGCTCAGGGGTGTCTCCTCCCACAGTGTCGCCAGTCGTTTCCGCCACGCCACCAGCATGGCCTTCTGTGTCTCAGGAGGACTGTGGCCTGGGGCCCAGAAGATCTGAGGCGGTAGCACTTGGAAGCCACAGAAGTATAGAGTCCCACTCTTCATGAGGGGGAATTAGAGAGAGGGGTATGAGCACTGATCTGTTGCTCCAATACAGTTATACCATGTCCATTCTAATTTACACCCACCTGCAAGGGCCACAGTACCACATTAATGTCTCCATGGACTCCATCTGGAAGAAACATGCCCTCCGTGGATCCGGTGGTAAAAGATAAAATCACTTTTTTATCCTGTGGAAATAAAACAAGTCAGACTCATTGCAGTAGTTCAATTACGTCTTGCTCTGTTGTCTAACAATGGGAACAGTAGTGCTGGTCTTCTCCTCCTTCACCTATTCTTCAGTCACCCCGTTACTCTTCCCCAGTCAGTCTGCTTCTCATTGTCACACCATTACTCTTACACTATTGTCTCCTACAGTTGCATTATTTTTGAGTGAAAAGGTTCAGTACTCATTTTTGTTCATTTTAAGGTTAGCGGTGTAAAACGGGATGCTTTAAAACTGGGACGATATTACTTGGGCTTAAGTTACTTTACATAAACTTACAAAAAAAAAAAGAATAAGTAATGATGCAAGTGTCAAAGTGAGGATTGACCTTGAAGTTTCCATTGCTGTACATGTTCTGCAGCGAGAAGGCAAAGCCCTGAGTCAGAACTCGGTCTATCCAGCCCTTCAGGATTGCAGGCACGCTGAACCAGTACATGGGGAACTGAATACAGAAACATGACAAAGACAAGTGCAAGAACAAGTTTATTCCTCTAACTTTATTCCTCTAACCATTTACATCATGCAAAAATATCACTGCTATTAACATTGCTGGGGGGTTGGGTACAAAGAGGTCAGCTGCCCATTTCATAAGTGTAATTGTAGATATTTTTGGAAATAAAACCCACAGCATTCTGTGGCATATTTTAATATTTGGGCGTGTACGCGCCCGTGCTCACTGGTGGTGAAGGAACGTATAGAAACACACAATATGAAAGTTATGTGGTGTGCATTGTCACTCAGTTTAATGCTTAAAGCACACTTTACTGGCCATGTATAATTTAGGTTTATATTTAGTCATTCATTTTCACCTTTTGTACTTTAAATGGTCAGTTATTAATAGCAATGAAAACGTTTTCCACAATCTCGCAAACGTGATTTTTTTTTTTCCCCAACAATCATCCTTTCTTCCCCCTCCATGTCCCGTCTGGGGCTCAGTAATTTACAATACAGAAAAAGGTTATGATTTATCTGTGCTCCCTGGAATTTAAACCCACAGCCTTTGCCGTCTGAGCACAATGCACTACCTGTTTAGCTACATCTCGTGCTGTTCGGGCAATAGGCAGGGCTGCTGCCTCACCTGGAAGATGATGAGCTGGGCCTCCCGCACTTTCTGATGCTCTGCCTTGATGTCATCGGTCAGACGGCCTTCCTTCCAGGCCTGCACGGTTTCTTCACCATAATGGAAGTTGTCTGGATTTTTGAGCTCCCCAAAAAAAAAAAAAAAAAAAAAAAAAAAAAAAACCAACAACAACAACAACAATACATGATCAGAAGCGACCCTCGGGTGGGGGGTATGGAACATGTGTTTGAAAGCTTGTGTAGCAGTACCAATGATGTCGTCTGCGGTGGCACAAGCCCTGAAGCCCATGGCGTACAGGTCGGACACCGTCACCCGGCAGCCCTGACTCTGCAGCACCTCCATAGCTGCATCTCTTGCGGCAGCGTTAAATGATCCGTTGCTCTGGTGAGCGTACACAATGAGCACGTTCCTCTCTGCAGCTGTACACAGAACCACAGTTAACTTGCTGTCACACTGCAATGTTAAACTAAACACCTGTACAACTTTGCTTAACCTGATTACTAGGCACATGTAGTATACTTAGTTTAACTTGTTACTGCTGCTAGTATGCATTCAACTGGGAACATGATGGAACTTAACGAAACCGTACGTTGTCCCTAACATGACTACAGTCAGCCTCTCCCTTACTGTACCCCTGGGAAACATTTCCTTCCTCTTTCTAATGCAAACAACACCTGTGTACTTTGTACAATGCACAGATTGTGTGTTTTTTTCCAACCGTGAGAGCGTGACTTTGCATTTGCGTATTTATTTAGAAAATTCTTGACTCATTATTTATTATTATTATTATTATTATTATTATTATTATTATTATTATTAATAATAGTAGTAGTAATGTTAAATGCATTTTCGTATGGTCCTGCTATTTTTCACGTGATTAAAGCAGTAACGATTACAGCTTAATAATGTATTTCTTAACGATTTCGTTAACGTTAACTCACCCATGGTGCGTGCAGTGACGTTCTGTTGTTAACTAGGTGATTGCCGACTCCTGCCTTTTTATATCGCGTGCCGGTAGTAATCGCGTGAGAACTACTCGCGCGACTGACGTTTTGTGATTGCTCGGTTGATGGCTTTACTAGGCGATTGCAAGGTGATTCCAGCCTTTTATATGCGCGCCAGCTGGAATCGCGTGAGAATTCGTCGCGTGAGAAGGGCTCTGGGGCAGTATTGCTAGGGAGCCCACTGTAGCGTGGTAAAGTTGGTTTTGTATTCGATATTCGGATTTGCCTCCCCTATATCTTTGAAACGACACCACCAAAAATCACAAAAATCACACTCTGTTTCAGGAGAAAATCCAGATTGTACTACAACATTGCATAGTGAGTGATATGTTCATTAATTATTGTAGTGACGAAGCATTTTCTGCGAAACTAATAAACCAAAGTTGGAAGCGCAGCTTTTTGCTAGGGACCGTCTACAAAGTGCAAAGTGCATTCTGGAGAAACAAGCATTGCTACTGGGGCTTTTCTGCTGAGATTTTTTAATACAAACATCTGTGAAATTGCAATAATTTCACATTCATACTAAACCAATTTCTCCCACTTCAGAGGTTGTAGTGGTTGTCAGAGGTGCTCCCTGACTTACTACAGGTGGAATTTCTCAGAAATATCCAACCATTAGTGTACAGTAATTTAATTTTTTTTTTTTTGAAAATTACTGTAAACCACAGGAATTAATTTCTCCCATTTCAAAGGTTGTAGTGGTTGCCAGAGGTGCCCCTGACTTTCTACATGTGGAATTTTACAGAAATATTCAACCTATTTACATTAATTCAATATGTTTTTTGGAAAATTACTGTAAACCACAAATGGATTTCTCCCATTTCAAAGGTTGTAGTAGTTGCCAGAGGTGATGACTGACTTACTACAAGTCCCCCTAAAGGGACCAAACAAGGGACACAATGGAACTCAATGCACAGCACCACCTGGGGGAAACAAAAACCAAAAGACATTAACAAACAAACAGAAACTGTACAGGCACCAAGAACAAGCAGGACAGCAACAACCAGGACACCAACTGAAGAAACGGAGACATGAACAGGGACACCAAGGACAGGAACAGGAGACCCAAAGAAATCAAGGAAGGGGACAACGAAGGGACAGCACCGGAGGGCACACTGACTAAAGGGGGAGAAGAATCAAACGAGAACAGGGGAAAACCAAGTGAACGAGGAGGGAACATGGGGAAACCACCCACAAGGGGAACCAAACCAGGGGATGGGGGCACAAAGGCAGGGAAAAAACCGAAAGCCGGAGGGAAGGCAGGAGCAGCCGGGGCCACAGGCAACCGCGAGGCCGGAGCTGGAGGGACCCTCAGTGACCGCGAGGTAGGAGGTGGAGGTGACATCAGAGGGGGCGAGGAGGGAGTTGAAGAGACTGCCAGAGGAGACGAGGGGGGAGGCGAAGTGGTCACCAGAGAAGGCGAGGAGGAAGTTGAAGCCACCACAGGCGAAGGAGAAGCCACAGCCGACAACGGCTTAGGCGACTGACGAGGCTGAGCTGGTGGAACCACAGGGAACCAATGAGTCATCAGAGATGGGATAGTAGATGCCCAATGAGTCACTGCAGAGGAGGCCGCAGGTGACCACCGAGCAGGAGCCAGTGGGACTGCAGGCGACAGCCGAGGTGGAGGAACCGTCAGTGACTGCTGGGCAGAAGCAATGGGGACTGAAGGCAAACCTGGGGGCAGGGTGGGTGTGATTTGACCTTGGTGTAAGTGGCCTCTCCCATTGCAAGAGACAGAGAGACAGGATCCTGGCCGGGATCTTCCAAAATGGGGTGGTCATGGGGTCTGGAGTTGGGACGAGAACTGGAGTCAGGACACAGGGTCTGGAGCCGGGACAGAAACTGGCGCAGACACGGGACCTGGACCCAGGACAGGAACTGGAGTGGACACGGGATTCTTTCACTTCTTTTTACCTGCAGCTTTAGTCAGAGCCAGGGATGGTTCAGGCAGTTCTAACAGAGAACAAGCCAGTCCACAGTCCAGGGATACCTGCCTGAGCATATTCTCTGCTACTTTACTCCTCAGCTGCAGAAGGCTTTCTCGCACTTTCTCCACACGGTGTGGGTCTTCGGACGAGGAGATCTCTTCCAGGTTAGGTTATCCCTCGACTGTATAGCAAGGGCTCGAGTTGTGGGGTCCTCCTGGACTGTCTGAGCCAGTATATCACCTCATCGACTAGTCTGAGGTACGCCACCTCATTAAGATGAGGTGTCTTCTTGTTGAGTCTGGTCAATCTGTCACGAATTGCAGGCACAGAGCGGGGATCGGAACAATTGAGATGTGACACTTATTGTCATTCTTGATATTATATAATAATTATTATTAGCATAACTTCCTTAAATAAAACTTCCTTGATTATATGGGATTCTGAACCACATTTCTGTCTCCAGGTCTTTTCTGTGACACACTACGTTTTTCTAATTTATCCATTTTGGATATTGATTTTATTTGCCACCAGTCTTCGCCCTTATTGTTTTGCTTTTAGGCCCACTATTCTCACCTTGAACAACCATTTGAAGTCTCCCCAAATCAGTAATTTTTCCATTTTCTGTTACAGTTAAGACAACTGGTTAGATATTTTATCCTGTCCTACTTCATTTGCAGAGTTCATTATATGGTCACATATACACTTTGTCACGTTCTGACCACGCCCCCGACGGACGGAGCGCACTCCCTAATCTGCGGAATCTCGTCCACCTGTACCAGCGGCTTTAAAAGGAGTCACCTCCCTCTCCTCGGTGCGAGGTATTGTTGATTCCCATGCAACTTACTGAGCGTTTCTCTCCTTGTCTTCTTTGCAGCCCTAGCCCAGTCCTTCCGTGTTGGTCCCGATACCCCC